CCCATACTGGAGTGGGGGTGGCACAGGGCTCTCTCGCCCTGCAGTTTGAAGATGAGCCAGCCTTTGTCACCAAACTGCAAAGAGATGAGCTAATCGGGTAGGAAACCTGGTGTTCTGCTGCCATGGATTACAGCCCCACTTCCAAACCTTCCTCTCTGCATCTGTGCGGATGCCCAGCAGCTTGTTGGTGCACAGCAGTGACCAGGACTGGTCCCAGCAAGCCCCAGGTGGAAAGGGTGACACGAGGCTGGCAGTGTTCCCCATCCTCTTCTGAAACAGCACAGAGAAACCCCCGATGCCCACATGGCACTGTGCTTCTCCTTTCACCCCTCGCCTGTTTTCCAGCAGCTTGTCTCGTCTTTCAAGCTGCAGTGGTGAGGAAATGTAAGACATCCAGCCATTTTGCTGTCCTCAAGCTTATTTCCCCATCTGTGTTTAGCCGTGGCTGAGACAGGAGTGACGATGCTGAGCTGGAGGAGAAAGCTGTCCCTCAGGAGCACCACTGAGGAGGAGCAACACCCTTTGGAGGATGGCCCTGGGTCCTGCAGACACACACCCTGCCTGGGAGACATCTAGCACATCCCTCTTGCAGGATGGAAAGGAGCAGCACAAGCTGCAGCAAAGTCATAAAGATAAGCATCTCTCCTTCACTGCTTTATTTTTTTCAGAGGAACAGCCAAAGGTAAACAGGCTGTTTCAAATCTCCAAACATACACTTTCTCAGGAGGAAGCCACTGAGTGCTGCAGCCAGCTACCCTGCAGCAGGGGGCTGGAGGCAATGGGGAGGGCTGTGGGGCTGTGGGGCATCTGCATCCCTTAATGCCTTTCACAGGGGCAATGATGCTTCATGTTTCAGTGGATGCATCCTGCAGAGGAAAAGCTAGTGCATGTAGGTGATGGATGTGGGTGGTTAATATCCCTTCACACCCACCTCTCCAGCCTGGGCAGGGATTCAGGCCCTGTGGGTGGGTGGCAATATCTGGGGATGATCCCCAGGCGTTTGCTCTCACAGATCCACTGGCTCCTTCCCTGGGACTGTTCCTACCCTGGGATGTCTCTGTCTCTGGCAGTGTCTCCCAGCACCAGACAAGGGTGCATGGCCATGCAATATGCTCGTGGATGGCCCATGGCTTCGTAGAGGTGGGAAAGGATTGCTGAGCCGGGCTGATCCATGTTTCCCAGCACATTGGTCTCAGCTGGTGATACCCTGCTTTGGAAGGGTTTCCACAGTGCTGCTGCTGTGAGGAATGGCAGAGGAGTGGGGACATGGGTTTTTCTCTAAGACAAAGCATAGGACCAGCTGATGGAGCAGGAGAAACACAGAAAACCTGTCTTTTAGTGAAAAGTGGGTGCCAGGTCTAGAGCTGCATGTTGTGGGTGGCTTTGTGGCTTGCCTGAGCCAGGCAGCAAGCTGGGCTGGGTGCTGGCACCCTGGGCACCAACACACCGTGGGAGCCAGCACAGGTAGCAGTGTGTGCATCTTCAGTCACCGGCAGGTGTTGCCTTTGCTGTGTCACCTCGTTCCAAATAAAGACATTTGTGAAGGAGCAATATGATTTTTTTCTAGTCAGATTCCCATCTCGGGCATGATAACAGCCTGCTTTTAAGGATTGCACCAGATGATTTTTTACCACAGAAGATCCCTGGCTTTTTGCAAGTCGCCAAGGGTGGCTTTTCCTCCTGGAGGCGCTGTGGCATACAGATGCTGCAATGGGCTGGGAATGAGCACCTTTGTTGCCAGTGGGCCCATAATGCTGGCAAATGAGCTGACCGAGACCTCTCCAGATAGTGCCACAGGCTGACACCTCTGTACAGGACCAGTGTGATGGCACAGAGGAAGCACTGGCACCCATACAGATTTGGGGCTAGTGCTCACTGGTTTTAGCAGGGGTGAAAATCAGGTTCTCACAGCAACACTTGGCCTCAGCCAGCTGCCAAAACCCAGAGGGTCTGTCTGCCTGCCCACAGCCTCTTTGCAGGGCCAAACAAGAGCAGGGGTCACATGCACTGCAGGAAATACAACTCCAAATGGAGAAAAAGGTTTAAATGGGCATTTTTGCCTTCATTTCCCCATGGGGCAGAGGTCTGGACAGGCAATGCTGGCTTCTCCCGGATGCCTGGCTGTGTTTCAGCCCTGGGGCTGGACTGTCTAGGGACTGGAGACCCTTGCTGCATCGGGGCAAAATGCAGAGCCGTGGGTGAAGTCAGCAGCTCTGCTTCACGGGATGATACCCCTGCTTGAGACTGTCTTTACCCGAGGGCATGGGCATGTGTGGGCATGGCAGGGGAACTGCCGGGGCTCGTGGCGTGGCAAGGAGAGGCAGCACTCTGGCATCGCTTCTTGAGTAAGAAATGAAGCATCCTAGCGAAAACATGTGCTCCGATGCAGACCAAAATAGTTCTGGGTCTGGTCCAAGGTCTGGGGCTGGCATGTGGCAGTCTGGGGCGGGGGCAGTTTGAGAACTGCCATTGTGTAGGGCTGGATGGGCAGCACATACCCCATCCGAATTGCTGGCAGTCCTGGTGGTGGGCTGCTCCCATCCAGGGGCCTGGCAGTGACTCATGCTTTCTATAAACAGATCTTCTGACAGATAATGAATCCCAGCCGTCGCTGCCTTTGGGGAAAGCTCTGGATTTTCTTCGCAGTGCTCCCCCCGTCCCACTCTCCCTCCCCTCTGGGCAGCCCTGCTCCCACACTGGATCGTTTCCTGATGCAGAGTGGATGAGGCCCTTTTTCCAGCCAGTCGTGGGTTGTTTCACAGGCTGTGTGCACTGAGTTTCCCCATTAACCTTCCCAAGGGGACAGAGGCTTCTGCCCTTCTGGGCCACCCCACAGCATCCCACCACCCTCCCTGTTGATGCCCCACTCCACAAGCCACGGCTGTGCCAGCTGAGCAGCATATGCACCCCCTGGGGACCCCCTTTTTGCTGGCGCCCCAACCTCCTCCTGCTAACCATGGAGGGTACCTCAAGCAACAAAAGCTTTATTGCAATTACACAAGTAAGCCACAAAATACATTGCAAAGCAGCAGGGGAGTGAGGGGTGATACAGAAGCGCAGAGAGGGGTGGTGGGGAAATGTTTGCTTGCAGAAGCAGGTACTGCTGCAAGCTGGCTGCAAGCTGCTGTTCTCCTGCAAGCTGCTGCTTAAGCCCCCTGGTCCCGCCGCTGTCCTGTACCACAGCTGAGGGAGCAGGGTCTGTGCAGCCATGGGCAGGGGACTTT